TAGATAAAACATAAAAATCTATCGACAAGAGAGAGAAAGTTAAACTGACGGTCCGGATCGTCAGTAGGGGCCCCTCATCGCTTGGGGCCCTGGTGCAACTTCACCACGGTTAATGCAGCTCTGGACTTGGGATTAGTTAGATTTGCGATCTGATTCTATTATTACTTCCCTGTAAAGGTATTCAAAGCTAGTTTCTAAATATAACACTAGGATGGTGGGATGAACTACTGCGTAGTCAGGATCGTTATTCAAGGCTATGGTTTGAGATTCACTTATTTGAAAGTTCGTGAGGTTTCTTTACAGTGGCAGGTGTTGTTTTTTTTGGGGTGGGTGGGTGTGTGGTGTTGCTGACAGACAAAGTTTTTTTAGCTTTTTATCTAAATTTTGTTTGATAGTTAAACCTTTAAAGTAGGTGCTTTTCTGTATTACTGATAAAATTAAGTTAGAATCTTCAGGGATATTCAACATATAAGGTTGTTACGGAGGTTAAGAAAATTGTTTCGAAGAAATTTCAATTCTCTATGTTTTTCCTTTATAGTTTTTCTTTAAAGTTTCGTTTGAGTTTTTACTATGATACCTTTGATTTTTATGCTGAGCTTTGTTCATCAAATTGTCTGTTTTTAGAAAAGTTAAATTTAAAATCACATTTTTTAATTTCATTTGTTTTGTTTTTTGTAATGAAATAAATCTCTTCCCTCCTGTGACTAAGTAGCACAGGCGTAATGTTTCGGTGATGTTTATGTTGTTTAATGGTAGCTTAGCTAGTTGGCTTTTGTAGCATTCGTGTTGTTGAAATTAGACTATAACTTAGGTTATAAGCAAGGGCGCCTGCAGAAAAAAAAAATAGGGCGGTCAATACCCCTGTAATTACAAATATCTTATGATTTTCCAGTAACATAGAAGAATAATCTTATATATCTAGTAATTCTTTATTTTTGAAAATCCATGGGGAGGGGTGGTCAAATGACCCCCCTGGTCCCTTCCTGCGAGCGCCCATGGTTATACGAGATTAACGATACCTGTAATTTTTCTATTCATTACGGACTTTAGATGGTTTGTAGTTCTAGCGTTTTATCCGAGGTGCTAATTTTTGGTATTGAGGAACTAGGTTAGACCTATAAATGTAGTGACGCAAGACAAAGATGATAGATAGATTAAGTTTCCTTTGGTCTGTGTAGTGTTTTGTGAGTTTGTTTGTTAAGTCTTTTGTCTGTGTTTTTTTTTTTTAATTCGTTAATAGTTTCTGTAACTACTTTAGTAAGGAACTAAACAGTTATATATATATTCTGGATTGATATGCACATGCATAAGTAACCACTGTCAGTTCTAAAATTTAAAAATGTTATTAGATTGTTCAATGTTGATTTAAATACGAAAACCTTCTTTACCGTTAAAACTTGTGTACTTGAAACCGATCATACAAAGGATCGAAACGTCGTACCTGTTCTAAAAAATAATTTTTCTTAATGTAAAAGCTATAATTTGTAATGAGGATTATTATAATAGATCATAATTTTAAAAATAAGTTTAAATTATTGCTTCAATGGTGTACATTTTCAAAATATTAAAGGAAAAGTATCATTTAGTCCAGGACACAAAATACATCGAACCAAATTTTGTATTATAAAACTTATCGTATTTTTTCCAAATGAAATAGCGAAGTAATAACCAAATTAAACATAAAATTATTTTTACATATTTCTCTGGGAAGGATTAACCTAGCGGTTACCATACTCGGACCGTGAAGCTGAGTATTCATGGTTTGTTATCCGTTACTACAAAAACGCGCTTCGCACTTTGGGGCCGTGAGTGCACTATAAGAGTATCGGTCAAATCCCACTGTTGTATCAGACAAGGGCAATCTAAGAGTTGGTAATAGGTGCTGTTGACTAGCTGTCTTACCTCTAATGTATCAGTTCAAAATTAGCAACGGTTATATGAGGATAGACATTGTATAGTTTTGCATGAAATTATAAACACAAATTTTTCATCACTGATAAATAACTCAGAACTACAAATCATAAAATTTTATAATTATTTTTCATTGTTGACGAAAATAACTCTTCTCATAAGTGGGAAGATAAGAGTAAATTCAAACAACAGAAACTATTTTTATAACGACTTCCTAATTTTAGTATTTTCTCTAATTATGGAGTCTACCAAAACCTATATCATTTCAGTGTAGACGTTACAAACAATTCACAAGTTAATATTCAATAAATCTGAACTAAAAAACAAGAAATAAAAATTTTAGTGTACCAGTTACTCTCTGCCTTGTTCACAGGTAGGAAGCGTGAATAGTATCACAGGATTTCTGTAAATATTTCTGAATCGCCCATTGCAACGTTAAATACCTATATCAATTTACAGGAAGCACTTCGAGCATACAGTTTCATGAGGACGTTTAATCACAGCAAAGTGGTCCAATTTGCTTTAATTTTTAATGTCATAGGATAATGATAACCGATATGGAAAACATTACTAAGAAGAAGTACGTACATCCTGAAGAGGCGTTTTCTGCTACGAAAAAGGGAGAGAAAGATACAATATAGTAGTTGAGACGATATATGAATTAGGTATATATTGGATCATTTTATTGTACTTGTCGTGGATAAAGGTAAAGCATGTTAATACTTGGTTTCTAATGTAGTGTGTTTTGAATCTAAAGCTGAATGAGGGTTACAAAGAAATTTCTGGAGTTTTATAAAGCAACATCACCACTAAGACCTTGAATATTGCTACACATGTCATAGCGAATCAAATAATCAAAAATATAATATTTATGACATGGAAATTCTATCTCCTTGGTGAAATGCTTTCTGCGTCGCATAGATGTCAAGGCTTTTCTTGATTTGCAGGGAAAGATAATACTAGTGAACTAAGTCACGAAAGTATCTCTTAGCTATTGGCCTCCTTTGACCTCGCCAGCTACAAATTACTGAAGGGATTGCGAAATTATACAATGAACGTATTTAAATAATCCATTCTACATCGCTACAAAATTTAATAAACAAATAGTATTTATTTTTGTTCTCAATCTGATTGAACTACTAACATAAAAAAATCTGAAACTCGGGCTAAAATATGCTTTACTGTATTTATTTCGACAAATAGGCGAGGTTGGCCTTGTGGTTGAGCTCTGGATTTCTTTGAATAGAAATTCATAAGTTCTTATAATTAGTAGTGTAGTTCTCTCTCGTTGACTATGTGTTTGCTTGACTTGCTCCAGGAACAAGAATACTAGCGAATACATATGTTGGATATACAAGACTGTTTAGTGTAGGCATTATTATTTAATTTATTTTGTTTATTTTATTTAGTTTTTTTTTATACAAGAGAGTTAAAAGTTAATCATTTATGTAGGTTATGTAGTAATATGTCAGTCATACTATATCGGCCATATCTAGTGCCAAGGTGAAATGTCTCCTTGTAAACATTGGTTAGATTTGTCTGTTTAATTTCATGCAAAGATAGTCGAGGGGTATCTGCATATCTGCAGTAGCCGTCCCTTATTTTGAAGTAATAGATTAGAGCTAGTTAACACCAACCACTGCCAACTATTGGGCTACTCTTTACCATCGAATATTGGTATTGATTGTCGCATTATATCCTCTTCCCCCACATGACTGAAAGGTTGAGCATTTTCGTGGAACGGATCCGAATCTGCGAGCCTCAGATTGCGTTACATCAAGCTAAATTTTAGTTAGAACACCGAATAGTGAAAATAAAAACAACAGTTTTAATGTGAAAAACATTTCTAAATACTTATCTTACGGCTGACAGTACCTTATGAAAGATGAAATAGCCTCATTGAAATTAGAATTAACTAAGTTCATAAGGTCAACAGGGTTACAATATATATTGGTCTTTTATGTGGATGAACTATTCCAAATACTCAAGCGAGTTCCAAGTGCCATTGTACAATGGATTTGTTTAAAAAATTTAGATTGAACTGCAAATTGAGTTGTAGAATAGGAGTATTTCAGATGAGAGAGTAAATATAATTTTCAATTAGGTTGGAGTAAAACTCATATTAGAAGGTAGTTTGGACCTATGAAACTCCTCTATAACACTTCAGAGAGAGCTCACTTTTCGTTGTTTTCAAAGCTATTTCCTCAATGTGAAGTTCTTGGTTTAGTACACGTTCTTATATCGTAAAATAACGTGAGCAAAACATAAAACTGAATTATTACCTTTTCTGAATAAATAGAAAAATGCCGTTACCTAATGATGACACAAAGACTATGCCGACGTCGTTAAAATATTCATATGGTTGCTGTTAGAATATTGGCAAGTCTGACTTTGTTTGGTTATTTATGAAAGCGCGAATATCTATTACTTGAAGCGATTTTTTTCAGTAAAAATATTAAAACTCTATCCTGCAGCAAAAAGTAATAAAGTATTACGACACTCCTGCCGCATAGTGGTAAGAAGATCTGAGAAGTTCTATAATTTGTACTATAATACAATTTACTGGTGTAGAAAGATGTTTAACACTGGGTTGAGTGGGGATGTGTGAGAGCAACAGTGCCCGAGTGTTACTTGCCGTGCAACCGCAAGATACCCATTGCAGACTGACGGCCGGTGAGGGGCATAGCTTCAATACATCATTGAATTTATAATTTCTAAATAACTACGGAAGCACCACGCGATTGGCTTTTCTTTTTCACTCTCTATGAAGCACAAAAGATGTTTTTGATATTTTGAAATATTGAGGGGGTAAGAAATATGTTGGCCCCCTCAACAATTATTGGGGGCCAGGCCCTCCTGTCTCATAACATCAATGTGCTTTATTTTATTAGTTTTAGTTTTAAATATTATTAATTCTAATTTTTAAAATTAAAATCAGACATTTGGTTCAACTTCAAAACATCGTTCGAAAAATCTCTTCACTTTAGATAATGAAACATAGCTGCTGCTGAAGGTTTTCCTAAGTGTCATATCAACTTAGGATGATCTTTCTTCTCTTATTAAGTTTCTGTTTAATTATCTTACTATAGAGTTTCGAGATGGATTTCTACTTCCGTATGAGGTGGCATGATGATCGACTTCGTTGCGAATTATTTGCAGATCTAGAGTATATCGATGTTCCATATAAAAAGGAAATCTGGGTCCCTGATCTCTTCTTTGTAAATGCTCAAGAAGTTCACAATCCCAATTCTAATTTTCTTCTGAGGTTATATAAGGATGGACGTGTGCTATACAGCACGAGGTATTATTATTATTTTTTAAATTACATAAAAATACTAAACATATTACAATACTTTTATTTAGTTGTAAATTATATGCGTATTAAAATCTAATACGAGTTAGTAGTATGAGAGAATGTCAGATGTTTCAACTAATTTATACTATTAATACTAATAAATATATGAAACTTTTTAAACCAAATTTTGTTCATACATATAAAAACACTATCAATAAAATAGAAATTGTAATATCAAAAATTATCTAGCAAATTAACATATTTTTATATATTTATAGTAGATGTATATGGTTAAAGATAACATGTTAGAGGTAAATCATGTTAGAATTTATATCATTGCCAGTTCTCTATTTATTTGGGTAATGTAATTTCAACTGAAAGAGTTAATCACATCAGAAGCAAATACCAATATTCTAGATGGAAATTATTTGATCTTTACATTGGCTTCAAAGATTAATTAGCTTTTATTAAAAATTCATTAATGAAGGACTTGCGATGATTTTTTTGGAATCAACCTTACCAGCAATTGTTTAATTACCCCCACCAGTAATTGTTTAATTAAAATTACCAATAATTGTTTAATTAACATTACCAATAATTGTTTAATTAAACTTAACAGTAATTGTTTTATTAACCTTACCAGTAATTGTTTAGTTCTAAGTTAGTGTAACTCTAGTTACTGGAAAAAAATGTTAAAAATTATTTATAATCTTTGTTAAGCTGAAACGCAACCTATCATGAGAAAAATATACCCAGAGAAGACTGAAAAATAATGAAAAAAGATCGTTTGGAATAATAGTTTTCATCTTAGTAATTGAATTCACTTGGCGTGAAATATATGTGAAATGACTTTAAACGTTGTTAGGCTAAAGGTAACTTTTCAGACTTAAATTAACTTTATTTCCTTCAATCTACTTAATAAAGCATAATTAATAATTCAATGTCTAGTACATTCGAATATAAAATAATGAAAAAATATCGTTTGGAATAATAGTTTTCATCTTAGTAATTGAATTCACTTGGCGTGAAATATATACGAAATGACTTTAAACGTTGTTAGGCTAAAGGTAACTTTTCAGACTTAAATTAACCTTATTTCCTTCAATCTACTTAATAAAGCATAATTAATAATTCAATGTCTAGTACATTCGAATATAAAATTTGTTCATTTGTATTTATTTCTTTCAGTAGTTTATTTAAATACAGATAATAATAAAATTTTATTCTCGCTTTTCACCAGATATGTCATTCGTGCTCGGAGTATCATGGACTTTAAAAATTTTCCTACTGACGAAAACATGATCAGACTTGACATTGAATCTTGTAAGTTTGCTCTTTTTATGGGGAGTTCTGTATATTAAATATAAAACTGACTTTTGGAAAATCAACTTAATTACAATTATCGTTCCTGCTCTTTTGTTATATCCCTATAAAAGGTTTTTCATTTTGAAGTGTTCCTTTAGAAATATATTTAAGCCTAAACGGTTGGAAAGAGAAAATGTTTCTGAAGTAGGATTGTACTTTTATAAAAAAACTTTTAAGGAATATATTTCTGTACTGGTTGCGTAAATAAAAAGCTATTACAACACAAGAGCTTAGGAAGAAAGGTCAGACTTATTGATGTTATCATTTTCACCATACTAACTAGTAATGAATACGTTTGTTAAAATTTGAAGATCTGGAATGACATGGCTAAAAGTTGTCCACAAAGTATAAATGTGCAGGTTCTGAAACTTGTCACAGAATTTAAATATAAGCCGACATTGTTTTTATTTAAACCATTTAGAGTGTGGCATTAAAGCTTTAATCACAATAAAGTTCAGCTGCACATAAGTGTTAATTGTAGTTGATTCTAAGTCCTTATGTCTTTAAAAAACATATTCGGTGATGTTTTCCTTTAACTGCATAAAAGTGGAAGATTCACTCTGATAGTTTCTTTTAAAAAATATTCCATTGAAATCTACGCAATATTAGGTTTTGCGTTTACAAGACTCCCATTAAGAACTCCAAAGAAGAAGAAGGTACTTCCCAAAAATATTTTAAAAGATTCCATTAGTTTCGGTTATTTATTTATTTTATAACAAAAAGAATGTAAGATATTCCATAGAAAACCCTGAGTATAAGATATGTTTGAGAGCAAAGAAGGCTAAATCAAGAACCTTTAATAACTATTGACAAAACCTTTGAAGCGTGGCGAGACTGCATTAAGTATAGTCGCCACGTTGTATAAATAGACATGTGTGTTGGTGCAGGTGTGTACGTATTCTTACTATTTGATCAAAACATTTTACTTATATAAAAAAGGCAAGTTAGAATTAAGGAATCAGACACATAAAGATGTGATATCAAAAAAGAACCAAGTTATATAAAAAGACAAACAGTGTAAAGATGTAATGTAAAAGTGGCTAAGTTAAACAAGATAAAAATTGTGGAATACTTGACTTCTATTTTTATCGTAACTGGAACAAGCAGAAATATCTTTATAGAGTTTGCCCTTGTATATAACTTTTTATATCACATCTTTATAGTTTGTTTGTTTGTTTTTGAATTTCGCGAAAAGCTACACGAAGGCTATCTGCGCTAGCCGTCCCTTATTTAGCAGTGTAAGGCAGCTAGTCATTACCACCCACCGCCAACTCTTGGGCTACTCTTTTACCAACGAATAGTGGGATTGACCGTCACATTATAAAGCCCCCACGGCTGAAAGGGCGAGCATGTTTGGTGTGACGGGGATTCGAACCCGCGCCCCTCAGATTTCGAGCCCTAACCACTTGGCCATGTCGGCCACATCTTTATAGAGTCTGCCCTTGTATATAACTTTTTTATATCATGTTTTTATATGGCTGGCCTTTGTATTTTAACTTACCTATTTTTGTACATTGAAAATGTTTGGATAAGAAGTCACTCCTTCTAATTTTAATTGCAGTTTTCAAAAACAAAAAACTTGAATTTTACGAAATTGTATTATAGATTTTACGTACACACTCACATATCTACTATTTTTTGCCTGTTTTTTCTATTAACGTATGCCATATGTTACACAATATTGAAATATAACATGCAAACTGAAATGAGATTTGCACTTGCACCATGAAATTACACTGCAATATGGGCAATTAATCTTTGCCCCTCAGACAACCCTTTGACTTTAGCTTTTCCATTTACTCTTACACGCTAAAGTAATTTAAAAAAATTCAGATTACATTTATACCTCTAGTTGCTGTGGTTTGGATAAACCATAGAATAATAAGAGGGATGTTGTTTTTTGCTACTATACATGATAAAGATGCCAAACCAGCTGCATTTTTCAGTTAAATTCGATATCTAATCTTCTTGTGTGACAGTCGTGTGATATCTTCACTTTGCTAGCATTACGTTTTGCTTTCAAAATGAGAAGAGTACCAAAAGAAGAACAAAAACTGTACCACTTGTTGACGGCTCATTTCTCTTAATCTAAAATAAGTATGAAGTTGCTGCTTTTAAGGGGACGTAAGAGCGTCTAGATAGATTTAGAAAACAAGTAGCATTCCAGAATTAGAAAGCCTCTGTCAATACCCCAGGCTAGTCCAAAAGTCTGTCCTTGTGTGTAAAATAATATTAATGTTAATGTCTAATAACTTAAGTGGACTTAATATCATTCCTCTAGATATTTTACACATGGACACTAAAAGTGTTTGTTAATTTATGAGTGTTTATTAGAGAACTACAATAAGTTTTTTTTCTGTATTTAAAAAGGTTAAATGATGTTCATACAAAATGGTGCAAATTTTTGATTACTTTTGTTGTTTATTTAGTAAGACTATTTTTTCAAATAAATGAGCTTTATTCATATCTTGATTAACATTCGAACATACTGTTTTAGTCAGTTTAAGTATACTGATTTTGATACCAGAAAATAACAAGAACACAAACGATATGAACAACAATATTTATGAACCAATCTCTGAGGGCTTATTTCTCTTAGGGTATAAAGTATATAACACATTTTGAGAGCGTATATTTTAGAATTAATAAAAAGTGAGATTCCACTCGAAGTGGGACTTAAACCTTAGATGTCAGAGAAAACTTTAGAGCACAAATTCAGTGTCTTATACCACTACGCCATCTTATAGTTTTCGGTTTTCCAACTGCTCCTTGGCCTTTAAGTAATCAGTTTTAATCTAGTGGCTCTGAAGAGTAACTTAGCATTAATGTTATAAAACCGTTTATTTTCATAGAAACATTACTATATGTGCTACACTTGGGAATCCCTCGTTCAGATGAATATCTGAAGTCGAAGTCTGTTTCGTGCCGCTCCTCATTCGTTTGTTATAGGTTTTTCCTCTCAATAAGGAAAAGAAGAAAAAAGTGAAATAATTCTACCCCTTTTGACTGCTTATCTTCGTTTTTAGACTTAAGAACAACAACTGCAAAAAACGAAGCTGCTGAATTTAATGTGATATAAGATTTTTAGACTCGTTCAGAAACATAACAATAGTTACCCCCCAGCATTGGAACAACTGTGACAATACCCTAGATTTGGCCCAAAGCTCGGTCCTGTATACAGAGTCACGGCAGTATTACTCCATGTCATTAGATAACATGTGTAATGTGTTTACTTGCTCCAATACATAGTTCAAAAGTCAAAAATTCATTCCATATCCAGTTACTGCTGCTGTTATTGGCTCAGGCTGTAAAAGACAACTTCTTCCTTTTCTTCTAAAAATTGGTCTTGGAATAATCTTTCTTAGTGCGATATAGACTGTCTGCAGAATCTCAGATATGATTTAACTGAGCCTAAAGCTAAATTTTATGGGAAAAGTTTACCACTTACCACATAAATATTTCACTTGATGGGAAATATAGAGAAGACGTGTTCTAGTGGAAAATATTTGCATAGAGATAAAGTTTTCCGCTTAAATCTGGGTTGTATCGCAGTGTGACAATAATGAAGATAGTACTATATGTAGGAGTAAACGAAAACAAAACAACAACAATAAACACGACATTCAATACGTTAAAAAAGGTTAGTTAATGTGTTTTCTCTTAGCCCCAACTGAATAGATTATTTTCTTTCTGGAAGTTCTTCAAGGGTGAGTAAAATAATGAAGCAAATAAATAGTTTGTAATCGAAATAAAATAAAATGCATGGGAGCAATAATGAAGAACACCATATTTACTAGGTTTCTACTGCGAATCAAGTTTTTAGTTGCAGGGGTCAAATATGGAGACCTGAATGACAATAGGTATAACTATGCTTGTGGTCGAGTTCATGGAAACATCCAGACTGAAAACAAACAAGAAGTAATCTGGATTAAGAGATTACACAGTTTGTACAAATGCTAATTTTTGGGCATCTCTACGTAAGTGATGTTTTTTGCTAGCTTTCAGATGATAAAGATACATATTTATAGAAAGACGAAATAGCTCAGTTCGGTTTAGTTATATGACAGAACAATGTATTTTAGATTAAGATATAAAAATAACAGAGACTGACAGTAAGAGCTGGTGGTGTGGGTGTTAAAAGGAGTTTTCAAGGGTCACGGTCAAACTTACGTGTTCCGTAATTAATGTATATTCCATTATATATGTAATGTTACTTGAATCAATAGTTTTGATTAGAATGTTTAATATATCTAGTTTTATTTCTTATTTTCTTATTTTTATATTTTACTGTGAAGTTTTGCTTCTTTTGTTGTTAAGCGCAAAGCTACACAATGATATATCGCTGTTATGCCCACCACGGGTATCGAAAACAATTTTTTAGTGTCATAATCCTTCAGACTTACCGTTGAGCCACGGGGGGTGGTCATTACTATAAAGATTATTTTGCACTATTATATCAGCAGTCTCCTAAACTTATTTAATGTTATGTCAGTATGTTGATTTATGACTAACCTAAGTCTCCTAAACTTATTTGATGTTATGTCAGCATGTTGATTTATGAATAACCTAAGTCTCCTAAACTTATTTAATGTTATGTCAGCATGTTGATTTATGACTAACCTAAGTCTCCTAAACTTATTTGATGTTATGTCAGCATGTTGATTTATGATTGACCTAAGTCTCCTAAACTTATTTAATGTTATGTCAGCATGTTGATTTATGATTGACCTAAGTCTCCTAAACTTATTTAATGTTATGTCAGCATGTTGATTTATGATTGACCTAAGTCTCCTAAACTTATTTGATGTTAGGTCAGTATGTTGATTTATGATTAACCTAAGTCTCCTAAACTTATTTGATGTTATGTCAGTATGTTGATTTATGACTAACCTAAGTCTCCTAAACTTATTTAACTTAGTGAAATATTATTGGGTTTACGGCCGCAAATATCGTTATGCAAGAGTATTAAAATAATGAAGCAATGCACTATAATCTTTATAATTAAGAACGTAAGAAAAGTATAGGTTAATTAGCTGTACTTATTACGAGGTTGGTTTTTAGTTTCGATCTAAGTAAGTAACTTGCTTTGATCAGAAGTTAATCTATCCTAATTAATATCTGTTTATAATTAGCAATAAAACTTAGAGAATGGTTTGGTTTGTTTTGAAATTCGTGCAAAGCTACACGAGGGCTATCTACGCTAGCGGTCCCTAACTTAGCAGTGATAGACTATCACATTATAACGCCCCCACGGCTAAAAGAGCGCCCATGTTCGCGCACGGAATTCGAACCCACGACCTTCACGTTGCTAGTCAAGCGCCTTAACCACTAGGCGATTCCAGGCCATCTTAGAGAACTTATGTACTTTAATTTTCAAAAAGGTCCTCCTGAAAAACTACAAGGGTAACTGAAATTTTAAAAATGGAAGAGGATTAACATCAAAACTACAATCGAACCACAAACATTCCTTGACTTGAAACTAAGATGTCGAACAAACCAAATGATAACGGTGATGAAAAAACATCCTACTTCGATACAATAAAGCGCATACAATTTTATCTTGTAATAAACGTATTTATAATAATATTCCTTTTTTTTTCCAGATGCTTACACATCTGATAAAATGATGATAAAATGGCAATCAAAACAGTCACTTGGATTGAACTCGGAACGAATAACTGATTTTATCATTAAGAATTTGACGACCAGGGAAAGTGTTATTCATTTGAGTAGTGAGTAAAATTTTAAGCTAATCTCAGAACTTAGTATTTGATTTATATATTTCTAGATTGCAATGAGTAAAACAAATGATATTTTGGAAAAATAATTGTGTGAAGTACATTTTGGCTAAATACAAACAAACAGGTTATTAGAAAATAATTACAATCTCAACTTTTTTCAGGTAAAGTAACTATTCAGTTACTTGTCTTACTTCACCATTTTTGGTCTGCCTTTGATTTAAGATATCAACAAATTGGTTAGGTTTTAAAACAAGTTAAATTATTGATACTGTTAAACTCTGAAACGTGTAAAATAGAAGCACGTAAAACTTACTACAATCGTTTATTCTGTAATTTCTGTGCATATATTGTTTAAAGAATCTCATAGTTGTGTGTTAATCACAATTATCTAGCAGCGGTGGTTTAATCTAAATAATAATCAACGTTTCTACATCCACAATAATATATTTGTATAAAATTAAAATAAAAAAATAAAAGTCTACATGCTTCGGTGGAACAAACTCTACTATCTTCAGGAGACCAAGAAGATACAAAAAATTCATTTATATACCTTGTAAATGTACGTGCATCTTGCTCAGTAGTGCCATCTAGAAAATTGACTTCCAGAATTTTACTTCCGTGGCGCTTACAACTAAATCTCTATCCAAAACCATTTTGTTTTTAACAATTTCTAACGAATATTTTATATTTGGTCCTTTTCCAACTTTATTTCTTTAAGTAGTTTTTTTTTACATTCTTTGAATTAATAACATGTAAAAAGTTCGCCACATGTTCCGCTAAGGCTCAATCACTCGTTTTGAATTTATCAACAGCATTATTATGTTATTTGATTCTAAAGTTCAAATTTCTACATATATATAACTTAATATAACATTATATAACAATATAACTTAAACCAATATATTTCATGTTTATCCTTTACTTCAATTTTATCTTTCACACCATTAATAATATTAATGAGTATTAATTGAGGAGTAAAGGTTATTTGACAACCCGTTTTTATCATAAAAACATTATCTGTTTTTGCTGACCATGATGGAACTATGGCAAACATATACTTCCCTTACATCACTTTTTGATTGTATGCTATTTGGTGTAATCAGAAGTTTGTAATTTATTACAATTTTTTATAGATCGTATCTATAATATTAGGTTGATACCCTCTATCATTTGATATATATTTTAAATAATTGAATTCTAACATTAAATCTTCATTATATGCAGAGACATTAAAGGCCCTATGTACAAAATACATAAACAAGGACATTTTCTGTGGTAATGGGTGATACAAAGATGGTGGAGCATATTCCACCGAAACATGTAGTTTTAAGCTTTTAACGTTATACAAATAAATCATTTTGCATGTCAGAACTTGGGTGTCGTCAACTTATCATTTTTATTAAACCTTTCACAAGAACTGTCAGTCTAACATATTTAGTTGTAGTTTCATAACATACATACAGTTTGTTCGTTTTAGCGTAAAGCTATTTGCGCCCATTTCCACTGCAGGGAATCGATCTCCGAATTTTAGTGACACATACACAAATTACATGCTTGATAATATTTTAGTTGAAGTTTGCGTTTCGTTAAAAGTAATGGTTCTCTGACACTTTTATTATTATTACAGTCCACTAGAGGTGTTCTGAAAACATTCTGATACATATGACTAAAGCCATGTGTGATAGTTTCATTATATGAAATTTAATTGTATCTGTCTATAAGACGTGAAATAAAGCAATATAATTACGCCTACTTAGCAAGTACAATTTGTGACGTATTAGCAGCTATAGCAGTTTAGTAGAAATGATGTGAGTACAGTATTTTTTAATATTAATGTTTACATTATTATATAGCGGGAAGCTATTCTCGTGTCTACGCTCAGATCACATTGAAAAGAAGAGGTCAGTTATACATAATATCAGCGTATCTTCCTCTCATTGTCGTGGTTCTCATGTCCTGGTTGTCCTTCTGGATAAATCCAAAGTTGATAATTCTTCGTCTTGGACTTCTGGTGACACTTTTGTTATTGGCTGCTCTCTGTGTGTTGGGGTTTGATACTGAACTTCCGAAACTGGCATACGCTACGTCATTATCCAACTGGATCTCTCTTCATTTTGTGTTCTTGTCCTCAGCCTTGGTAGAGTTTATGTTGATTCACATGATCTGGGGACGAAGATCTATAGTAAGTAGCTTACGTGTTGATATACTTACATTTCTATATAACACACACACACACACACATGTATATATATATATATATATATATGGTGAGTAAGATAAATTCATTACAATACAAAATTTAAATTTTGAAATTCACTATAAAAATAAAACCAAATAGTGTAAATAATTATGTTTAGATTTCTCAAATTCGTTACATATAATTTATAAGCCAACACACGCTAATAGTAAATTTATAATATAATTCCTGATTACAAAGAAGACTAGTTATAGCATTCTTATGTTATTTTAACCATCAACTACAACATTAATGTTGACAATTGTTCTTTTTAACCATCAACTACAACACTAATGTTGACAGTTGTTCTTTTTATTTGACAAGTAGCTTATAGTTAGTCTGGGTTTTCATGGTGATATACAATTAAAGTCCATTTTTGAGAAATATTTACAAGTTTTTGATTGTTTGTAAGCGCTAATAAATTCAACAAGCTGAAACAGATTTTAAAATCTAGGCTACTACAGTTTCCGAAAGTATATTACATTTTCTGAAATATTCACATAAGCAGACTAATAACATGTCGATACAATAGTACGTTTCCCCCGAATAAATCACTTTATCATGCTTTTTACTCGAATATCTGTATGTTTAACTTTCTGCTACAGAAAAATAATTTTTCTATCTACAGCAATATTTACAAGAACACGAGATTGAAGACAAAGTGGAAGGAGAAACAGAATCGACTTGTCAGAAGTTTCGTAACTGTTTATGTGGGACCAGTAGCCGTTTGGATCTTGCTTCAAGAGTTTTATTTCCTGGTTTCTACATCCTCTTCAACATCATTTACTGGGTCGCCTGACCAGATTATACTGCATTTATCAGGAATAGATGACAACGATCGACGTCATACAGATATTATGTTTATTACCGATAGCAGTCACAATTTTGTAAAATCTTTGGAGACTTGCATACGATTTTAAAATATGAAAATTAAATCTTTCTTTATTAATTGTCTATGGAAGGCATGGTTAACACGTTCAAAATAGAACCTACTAACCTAAAGTTAAGTGATATTTCTTAAAACAAATGTTGAAAACATTAAGAATGTCAGCATATAAAATTATTATATAAATTTTCACAATGCTTAATTTTCTTTTCGTCAGGTCAAAATACCTGATAATACTTAGAAAAAATTGGACTAAAATTTGTTAGTATTTGTCCGTGTTCTAACTAGAGAGATATTTGTTATAATATCGTACTTTAAAGAATAATACTATCCTGCTTTTCAAGAATATTTAATTTTGTTTGTTTTCTATGACTTGTATTAAAGAAAAAACTTATATTGTTTGATATATTATGCATTATTTACAGAGATTCATATATCTGTTCATACACATTTATTTTTATTTGCTTGTTTTTCACTCAAAATAATCTTAAAATAAGTATTAAATGTACTGTGAAAAATGCCTTTGTCTTCCTCAAGTGTAAGAAATAATTATTTCAAAGTGGCAAGTAGTTTTATACTTTGTTTGTTTTTGTAGTAACCACATGAAGCATGCTTGAAGTATTTCTTCATCATGTATTCCTTTTCTTCAGACATGCAAAACAATAATACATATTGTTAAGAGCTTAAGACTTACTTTGACTTGTCTTTGAATCATATGTAAACAGGTAATACATAACTAAAGTTAGTATACATGTCCTTATGTTTTATTGGTAGAGGTAATTTAATTGTGAACATGTTTTAAAATACCTTAAGTTTCGATAGCATTTAAATTCAGAGTGAATATTGTAATTAAGGGGTACTAAAACTTAATTTTTAATCTACAGTTGTGCTTATGTCAGTGCTTCTTAAGTGCTTCTGCCAGTACAAATTATCATTATTGGACAACAGATTGAAACTTTTTGTATATTTCAATGTTGTTGTTTTTCCCTTGAAGTTTCTAAAATAAAATATGCTACATTATGATTAACTTTCCTGAATGTGCAGCTCACTTATTGTCTACAATGGCTTTTTTTACACTTCAAATACAAATTATTTAATTTGAAGCTACTTCAGGACATTGGAATCTTTAATTTCTTTGATTATAATTTTCTGTGCACTTCCAGTGAACTTGAAAGTCACTCTTCTCAGGATTGGCCCTCTACTGTAATAAAATATGCCTTAATGTTCCGAATTTATTCAGAACACCTTCATGTTAGAGATCGCTTTTTTGTATATTTTATAATGTCCTTGATTCTTAACTAGTGGCCTTGACCTTTAAAAATGATCTAGAGATGAACCAATGTTTATCTCTACTCTTAGTGTGATGCTCCTGGCAAATAATTTCAAAATGGTTACCTAAACATTGTCGTTTTCAGAGCTGTATGTGTTCTTATTGTTGTCAAGAAAACAGAAGGGTAAACCAGATAAGTTTGTAAATGAAATGTAACTATATTTTCATGCTCTAGTCTATTTTCATTCAGAACAAAACTATGCTCGACTATTATTCTGGTTGGGAATATTAGGTTGGTCATCACCAACTAACAAGTTTTTATACTTCCTTAATAAGATCTGGAGAAAGCTTATAGTTATTACAAAAGTCGTGTCGGCTTTCAATACACAGTTAATTTTTAATGTTTTAACGTTTCTTTTGAAATACATGCATTTACATATAAACACCACCTGGCAGTTTAGAGCGGTATGCTTAATGTTTTTTTTTAATCTGCGTCCTTTAGAAAGTTACATAACCGAACAAAGGAGTAAATGTAATGAGGTGAAACACGTAAAGAAAGCTTTTCATGCAATTATTTTCAAATAAGAAATCTTTATTAATATCCATGTATAATTAAATAACATTGTTTTTCATCACAGCAGTTTACTAAAACAAATCTAGTTTACAAATCATGTTTAATTACTACATTTTTTAGAACTTGTTGTTTGAAATGATAAAAAGCCTTGATTCTGCTTCAAGTATTAAAGCAGTGGGTCATCAAAACCCTTATATTGATAAATTGTGATACATATTTATAGAAACGCAGAGTATCGTTTATTTAAAGATTTTATATGATATACTTTGTCAGAAGACTTACGCGACCAGAGGTCAATAATATTGTAATTTACACCAGATTTCCCATAAGCACAGTGGAGAAATTTACTTTTTATGTGAAAAGAGTATGATCAAATTACTATATCACATAGAAGTTTATACAGAAATATTCGTACCCTATTCTATGTGTAAATAATATGACTTGTTTAGTATTCCTTGCCACATATGTAATGAGCTTGACCTTGCTGCAAAGTTTGCTTTTCCAAGAATTGTTTGTAACTTATGTTTTTTCTAGAATGTCTGATTAGTTTTATGTATACGTTAAATCACTCAACAAACATATAAACAGGGTTTTGCATCTAGTATAAAAACAGTAACAAATTTCAATAATTAAAAAAGCTAGGTATTTTAGAATATTTTATATTTTTAGAAAGACCATAGCAAAACCATTAAACATAATATTCAAAATATGACGTACCGAGTATCGAAAAACCTGTGTTAATTGTAAAGTGAACATTTGTTTACATTTTTATACAAGTGCCTGATGAGCTACTTGACTAGATTTTTCACACAGCATAATCTAAGCGTTTTGTCACAACCTTTGGGAGGTTTAAATTTGAGGAAAGTTAATATATATAACAATTTTTCCATGTCTACCATCACATAAGATCAAACATCAATATTTTAATAGGAATTGCTTCATAGATAAAAATACAGTTCTTTCCTCAAGGCTTTCATCGCTAGAGAAAACCTTTGTATTAGTTTATGGATTTCGTAATCTTGGAGACATTTCAGACAGCTGTGAGAAAACGGTATCCTTTTTTCGAAATGTTCGAAGTTAAACAATGTGTAAAACTAAAGTAACGACCGTTAACTTTTAGCTTTAACGATCTATTTACGCTCTTATATACACAGTAGAATAGCTCGTGTTTAGCGTTTTTGAATTTTCTTTTTGTTTTTATATGAAAGTGCTAGGAAATACAAGTTTGTGAAAAAGCTACTTGAAATCCCTATAAAAATAAGTAATCCAAGAGGTCGTCAAACTGAGTATTGTACTCTAATACGGAAACAAACTAGAATGAAGGACATATCCACATTGTACTAAGAATTTCTGGTTAAACAGAGCAGCATTAGATTTATGTAACATTTCTGAATTGTCCAAGCAATTTTCGTACCGCCCTCTAGATGATATCGAGATAAATATAAACTACTTTATTATTATACACCACCTTGTTACAATAATTGTTCAGATATCGGATGTACACTGAGTGGTCACAAGTAAATAGACACCTAATTTTTCGTCATTTAACTGACTTATGATAACTAATTTGTATTCACAGAGCACTATATAGATGAAAATGGTACGCACACTAATTAT